TATTAGCAAAAAGCTGGTCCAAGGGGAGATATGGGTGGCCAAAATAAAAGACTGAGAGCAATTCTGGACTTCGTTAACTAAGCCACTAAATCTAGCATTCACAACAGATTTATAGGGCTCACAATTCCATCTCTAGAAGCAAAACTAGTGCCCCCTTGCTAAGAATTCCTGGGTTTCTTTGTGATGACAGCAATAACACATGTAATTCTCAATGGCAATGTCATCAGCAGAATTACACTGAAAAAGGGATGAAAAAAGTGTGGACTGTCTTAAGGTCTATAAATTATGCTTGGTTTCCATTTGTCATTTCTATGAAAAGCAAATCACGTTTCTCCCTCTTTAGAGGGAGATGATTAATGGATGCCTTGCATTTGCTTGCAAAAGCTTGTGTCAACTGTATTGGCTTTTTTTTTTTTTTTAACAGAGGAAAGAAACCCCATCCATCTGGAACAATAGGAAGTGCAGTGTGTGCTTGCTCTGCCTGGTGTGAATAAGGAGATTCTGATCAGTGCTGAACACTGATGTGAGCAGAGTAATTACTCTTGCTGGGAAGAAGTAGTCTTTGCTCCTACTCACTCTTCACTTTTGTTTAAGACAACAATAAGCTAGACCAGAGGCACTCTAAGGTTGGTCTCCCACCACAAAGGGCTTTTACTGGAAGTGAGAGGCAGATGAATATAGCTCTTCTTATTCCTGTGTTAATAACTTAATTTTGTAGTGGTGGAATCAGAGGTAGTTTAAAAACTGTCAATGTGAAAATCATGGGCCCAAGTCTTCACATACAGCCCAAGCAAGCTGATAATGTTATCATTGTGGGGTTGGTAATTTCTCTCAGGTAACAAGCAATAGGACGAGGGAAAATGGCCTCAAGTTGCTCCAGACGAGGTTTAGATTATATACTAGGCAAAATTTCTTCACTGAAAGGGTGGTCAAGCATTGGAACAGGTTGCCCAGGGAAGTGGCGGGAGTCACCATCTCTGGAAGTGCTTGAAAAGTGTGTAGATGTGGTGATTAGGGATGTGGTTTAGGAGTGGATTTGGTAGTGTTAGGCTAATGGTTGGACTTGATGATCTTAGAGGTATTTTGCTGCCTTTTATCCCACTGCAATTTCACATCCTTTGGCAAGGGAACACCACAAAAATTTTATTTGATTTCACGAGCTAGGTTGCCTTTCCCTACAGGCTCTAAGGACCTGGATAAATTTAAGGTGTGATTTTCATATGAAAAAGTCATGTTGATTTCTCTGTGATGTTTGGAATAATCATCCAAAAAACATTGTTAGCTGGGAAAGCAGTAATCTGCTGTCTGACGCACTGTAAAAGATGTTTGATGGAGTACTTCACATTTCAGGAAATCCAGCATGTTTTCTACAGTGAAGCCCAAAATTATAAAAATAGTTTCTTTCTAATCTCTTTCTCTTAGGTATTCTTAGCTATTAAAGTTTATGGCATCTAAACTTAGATTAATGTTTGTTATTGTTTCTGGTTTTGGTTTTCATGCTTTTCTTGTTCAACACATTTGTGTCCAGTTGTATTTTCTGTATAAGCTGCTGCATAAAGTCAATGGGTAACAGACTACTTCAAAGCAGAAATTGGGTTAATTTATTTAAAAATAAATTCTATGGAGTACTTACTCTGTATTTCATATGCTGCAACAAACAAAAAAAGCATTAAAATTAATTGTACTTTCCCTCCTTTTTTATTTACATTCCAGGCAACTTAGGCAATAAAACTAAACGAATGTGACTGCAACTACATTAGCATGTAGTGCAGCTCAGTGAAAGTGTGTTTGTAGAATGAGATGGTTGATGTTGAGATGACATCTGCACTATGGGCATTTTTGGAGGTAGAGGGTCTGACTTCAGGATAGTGCTAATGCGATACTGTGTTCTGAATGCCCAGAACAGTGGTTGGAAAACACTGGATGCACTCCTGAGGTGTATCACAGAGTCTTCGAATGGTTTGTGTTGGAAGGGACCTTAAAAGTCATTTAGTTCCAACCCCCTGCCATGGGCAGGGGATGTTTTGCTTTAGTTTCCTTGGAAAGGAATGCATTTTCTGTGCTCTGAGATCACTGTGGCCTGAGTCAGAAGACAAGGACTTGCTAGAGGTTTCCCTAAAATTTTGGAGGGCTAATTTCAGAAGCACACTCCTGGTGTGCTCTGACAGGTTTATATAAATACATACAGCCTTATAATCTTGTTTTTACCTACTTTTCATACAGGTATCAATTTATTCTACTTATCCAATAAATGCTATCTTTTGGGCTTGTAACTCTGATTATTTACACACAGGTATGTTGTAATGAAATTTGCTTTTCTTATCTTATAAAAAACATGATGCTGTGGCTGTAAGGCGAGTAGTGACTGATAGTTGGCTCTAACTTGTTTTGCTTTATGACACCTGTGCAGAGTGATTAACAATGCAAGGTACAACAGTGGAGCAAGATAATGCTGAAAGCTGGCCTCATAGTTAGAAATCTGACTGGTGGATAGAGTCATCCATCAGCTCCCTGCTCTGTCTCCCACTCTATGTGTGCTCTTGCATAAAATCACGGCAGTGGCACAGCTCTGCACATCTGAGGTGCTGTTGGCATAGGAAACAAAACTGGTGTGTCCTGAAGCACTTTTACCTACAGAATGGCTGCTTATCACAGAGCCGAGGTTTTTGGAGACCAGAGAAAACAAAGTGCTCATAGCCCACGGTGGTAGTTAGCAGATTAAAGCCAAAGTCAGCAGTGTCTGAAAGTCAGCTTAGGCACTTAACTTTTATTGATTGGGTGAAGTATTAGGTGCTTCAGTGCCTCAACAGTTTCTCCCTCCATTCCCTTTTTAAGAAATGCAGATAAGAGCACTTTCACACTTCAGGGGAGTGGCCTGACAGAAAATGTGTTAAGGCAGTGATGTGCTTGGATGTGACAGTGATGAGGTCAGATGAGTTCCTTGCCCAGGTAGGAGGAAGCGTGTGAGACTGGAGTGGGTCTTGATTAACAGCTTGCCTTAGAGGCACAATCCAAAGTCAGTGACAAGACTCTTATTAACTTCAGGGAGCTCGGATCAAGCCCATTGATTTGTGCTTATTTCTGCTCTAGTTGCTCTAGTCCAAATTAATGCTGTGCTGTGATATTTCCAAATACCAACATAAACAAAATCCACTCAAGAAGGTAGTCATAAAAATAGGAAAATCATAATGCTTGTATCACAGTACTGAATCAATAAACATTAAACATAGGAACCTGGTCCCAGAAATTAGTGTGATAAGAAAAAGGAACCAACTGATAAACATCACAATTTTTGGCTTCAGAAGCTGGATAGAGTCCTTAGTGACAGTATCTTATATTTATATATATTGATAGTTTGAATATTAATCCTTTCTGTGTAACTTCTATCCTCTCTCAGTCTTTCGTTTGGAAATTACTTTAATTATATGCTTGGAATATTTTAAAGTGTTAAATGGAAATAAAAATGTTTAAAAATTCACATTTTCATTACTAATTTCTAAAGGAAATCAGATATAATAGGAGATTCTACCTTTATGCTCCAATGGAAACATACCCCATTTTATGTTAGAGGTACAGTGAGGTTGTGTAACTGGTCTGAGATTATTCAGGATCTGAAAGTTCAAGGCTTTTGCAGAACCCCAGGCTTTTAAGTCACAGGCTAAATTGTTATGCTATCAAGGAGGTTTCTAGGAACAGAAAAAAAAAGATTTGTCAGCTGCTCAGTAATGAAGGACGTGTTCTGTGTAGATTATATGTGTATTTACACCTTCACATACAATAGCTCTTTAGCATCTGATGTCTCACAGACACCAGATGCTATGCTTCCTTGTAATTCCTAGGAAGAGAGTTAAGTTGTGTCTAACTCTGTCTACCTTAATGAAAGAAGAGAAGGAAATGAAATATGCAGTGCTCAAACCCAGATAGGAATTTCTTCTGAGAAATGCCAGGTGTGGACATTTTCATTTCAGGCTTGTCTAAAAACAGATCAGTGTTTGCCATTTGCAAAGCAACTTAGAAAAAATAAAAATGCTAATGATTCAAGCCTTTAATACCATTCCAAGGCAAATATTCTTTAAAACTTTTCATGTTTTTCATTCATGATGCCTTATTCCCATTCCTTAGGGGTATTACTCTGTTGCTTACTGAAATACTGGAACAATCTCTATTTACTGCTCAGACCTGCACATTCTCTCATGCAGAGACACATGAGAGGAGTAACTCAATATTGCCACTGGTTCATCAGCAAAGCAGGCCAATTAATACCACAGCTAATGGGGTGAAGTAGCTGCTACAACTCTCAGTTGTCTATCTTTTTTTTTTTACTTCTAAACCAGTGTTCCTGGACAAAGGTAGAAAGCAAACTATGCAGAGATTTTTTTTTATATACTACCAAATACTACCAAATCTATATTCAAAGCACCACAGAAAGTGGAGGTAGAAAGAACCCAGCACGTTATCAAATGTGTTCTCATGCCAAAGCAAGACTGCTTGTTGCAGGCAGCCAGGTAATATTTTAGGCAGGCAAACTGCCTTCTCTGAAATTTCTGCCAGAATCTAACAAAACCCACCATTAGAGATCAGCCTCTCCCCTCTCTCTGTGTTTTGGGTTTCTTTTCTTAACACCTGAATTTTTGTCTGCCACTCCAGTAGATCATTCTTGAAAACCTAGCAGCCCACTTGCCTGCCTGGTAACTTCCGTACTCTAGTATTAAAAATTTCAGGTTTAATTTTTCAAATAAGCTGAGCACAGCTTCATTTAGATCTGGTTTAACTAGTGGTAAAATAATTCTGCCTATTTGATCATCTGTTATGTGTTTATATACGTAGCTGAAACATACTATTTTCATTATTGAAACATTGGCTGTAGTAGTTTTGATGTTACATTGAAGCATTTTATAGTAGTCATGTATAATAGGCTTCTCTGAAGTTCCTAGCTACTTTCCTAGTTTTCCATCTGACTCTTCTTAACCACTGTATTTTCATCTCTCCCTTCCATATAGATTATGCTGCTGACTGATCCAGAAGTTGAAAGCAGCTTATTAATCAGTTCTGATGAAGGAGCCACCTATCAGAAATACCGTCTGAACTTCTACATCCACAGTCTGCTCTTCCACCCCAAACAGGAAGATTGGATCTTAGCCTACAGCCAAGATCAGAAGGTAAGAGTCGTGGCTTGGTTTGCTTAGGGAGAACCCAGAGCTTCCCCATCTCTCTGTGCAACTGCAGAGCATTCAGGACAGTCTTCAGGGTGACACCAGGACAGTCTTTGGAAATACCAGTTTGGTATTTCCAAGCAGGAAACATTGACCAAGCCCTAGTGTAAAGGTCAAAGTAAAGGACATGGGCATCTGCTGTGTTTCTGGGGCCTAGCCCTCTATTACTGATCTGGCAGTCTGTGTTTATTCATCCATCCTTTTGGCAATATTGTGTGACAGGCAATGGGCAGAGAAGACAGCTGAGATCCTTCACAAACCTCTAATGAGGCTTTTGGCCTCTTATTCGACAATTCTTTTCCTCCAGTTTAGTATCAGCTCCAAGAACAGTATAAGACATTCCTTGTTCCTCTCTGGTTGGCATATTTTCAAGTAGTTTTTGATTTTCTAAGAGGAAAAAGTAGCACTGAATCAATTTCCTTTGAAGTCCAGTCCCCTCAGTGTGGGTAATCCATCAGCCAGATAAATATGCTGTGAGATTTGCCTTCATTACTGCTGCCCAACCAAACACAACAACACAGGTCTTTTTGTGGAGAACTCATTGGAATTTTTTGAAAATCAGACACATCAATACAAGTCAGTTTTCTTATTGTGGAAGATTTGATAGACCTCAATCCGTTTAGTTCAACAAAAAGCATATTGAAGGAAAAGTATATTGTTGCACATAAATGTTTCTATGGGGGAAGACAAATCATAGGAGAAACCATTTCAATTTAGTGATAAAAACTTCTAACAAAAATTGATGGTTAGGAGTCAGTGGCAGATAAACTCAGCTGTAAAGTAACTAGCCTTTGGAGCAAAATGCTGAGAAATTGCTGATTTCACATCCTGATGTTTTAAAGTTTTATTAATAAACCTGGAAAAAGACCAAAAGAGCTTGTTGAGCTCCCAGCAAGGGTAAAAGAGTGAAATATCTTGACATTTAGCATATAGGCTTTTACACAAAATACTTTAGCGGTCTCCTTCTTGTTTTGTGTATGATGAGTCTGTGAGAATAGAATCTGTGGATATAATCAATAAGCTAATTACTGGCTGAATTGTTCAGGTTATACATTAATGTAAAGATCAACATAAAAGTTTGAAATCTATGATGTTTTGTATCTGTGTAGTTAAATTAATTGTAAAATAATTAAACTACTAATTTTCATTTTGCATAAATTACGTTTGGTATTACAGTAAGCCTGAGAAAACAAAGGCATAAGGAAACTGAGTAAGTAGGTAAGGTTGCAAAATGATTGTATAGAAATTTTTGGAATATTTTCTTCCTTCACTTTACGCTCAAAATCAGAATCCTTCCAGGACTGTAGCTTTTCAACTGAGAAATTCATCTTGCCTCCTAATTCTTTCTGTGCAGTCAGTTGCATGCAATACTTTTCACTCACCCCTGTCACAGCATTTTGTAGAGTGTGCTATGGTTATACTCTGTTCAGAGGAATGTGCAGATTAAATTATTTCTCTGTGTTCAGTATGTAATTAGACAAGGCCAAAATGTTTCCTTTCCGTTGTAGCTGTTGTGTTCTCTGGACTGATATGAAACAGAACAGAAGCTGGTCTCTGATGTCTTTTTAGGACCATTGGAATGAAACTTACTGTGTTTAATAGCAGGAAATTTATTACATGAAGATCAATGAAACTTTCAGAGGGAGCTTTGTCAAATAAAAATAGCATATAGTAAAAAATTCATTTCAATTGCTAGGGTATTCAGTCTGGTCAGGAAATAATTCTGAATTAGAGGCCATGTAGCTAAAGCTTATTTAATTTATGATTGATGGCTACCAAGAAGTATATAATCACAATTTCATAGGAAATGCCCACTCTTCCACAGACTCCTTAAAGACAATCGGGATGTAATAACACAGGGTCTGTTTGTGTGTTAACATGAATCTATGGGGGTGGTGTTGGAATTGTGTGTATGGGATGTGTGTGAAGTGTTTGGGGAAAAAGGATGCAGGCTGTATTATAAAATTTTTTTTGTTATGGAATTGATTAGCAAATTGAATAACTGTTGGTAATTCAATACTGTAGTTACAAGACAAAAATCAGGTAGCACAAAGTCTGCAGATCTGTACCAATTAAGTCCAAAATAGAATTTTAAAAGTACACTGAATGGGTGTGAGTCACAGACCTGGTTTCTACTTTAAAGCCTAATGAATACATTTTCTGACTTCGACAAGCTTTGCCCAAGAACTGTAGAGGGTAACCAGCAGGCAAAGAGTGTTAATCAGCTTGGACTAAATTAAATGTAACTCGAACTAAGGGTCAAGTTCAGCCTATGGCTAAGTGTAAATGACTCCCATTGGTTTCATGCTTGTGTATCCAAAGGCAGAATTTTCTCAGAGTAATTAAGAAGTCCTGCAGGTGTTTAGATAATTGCAGTGGGAGCTGAGGGGTGCTTTGCAACAAATGACACTGCTGTTAGCTATTTCCTGATCCTGTGCTAAGGCCATATTTAAGGGAAGAAAGTTCATTACTCCTTGGATTCCAGGCACTGTGTGCATACTGACTTGAGAGTCACCCAAGGAGGCAAGGGAAACATATCTGCATGGTAAGGAATTCACATTTTGATGCCACTAACTTGGATGCTACTGACTGAAGAGGCTGTGAGGGTTTTCTTGATGAGGACTTTGAAGAGTAAATTGTATTTTGACCAGTTAGGATTGGTGCAGTCATTTAATTTTGCTGTTGACAGGAGGGAGGTGATAATTAACTAGAAAACACTTTTACATACTCCTAGCAAGCCACTTGATTGTTGTCATCCGTTTGCATCGTGTCCTTGCTGCAAATGGGATGGGGAAAAATCAGGTGGTGAGCAAGAGATGGAGAGACAGGAATCACATTGGATCTGGACTGTTTTGGTTCTCAGGAGGTGTCCATCCAGTTGAGGATTGATGAGGGCAAAGCCAAAGGTAGTGGAGGCCTGTCATTGCTCAGTTGTAATAAACAGTAAACGCAGAATCATTCCTCAATGTCTTCACAGCCCTCTGAGTCTGTTGCTATGATCAGATCTTTTCTTGTTTGTTTGAATAGGGGTTTTCTCAATGGCAGGGAAATCTGTTTTAGCTGAAGTAATTTTATGTCCCAGTTTCTTGGGTGTTGATTATGAGTGAATGTGGTTAATTACTGGGGTTCAGCTGACAAACAATAACTCATTAAGCTTCAGTGACTCAGTTGCTTTTGTTCCCATCTTTCTCCTGTCTCTGCCTTGGGCAGTGGACTTGAATTACCACTGCTGACAGACCAGTCCCTAATTCAGTCATGGCTTTTTCCTGCCAGTCTTGAGAAAAAAAAAAGCAGCAAACCATCTGCTGCCTGCACTAATTGCTTCATGATTGCATTAATTGTTCTGGCTGAAAGTACAGTTGTTACATGGCTGATTCTCACCGCATAATTGCAGAAGTACTGCATGCTTCTCCATTTTCTGCATAAAGGAGTTGCAAATCAGAAGGAAACTCCAGACACAGTAAAGCAGTTCTTGTGAGGCAGAGGCTTTTTGGAGGTCTTGTACATGTAAGCTCTCACGGGTTTAATCAGCTTGCTTGTAGAATGAGGGGTTGTATTTTATGGGAGTATTACTTATGTATTACTGTGTAATCTTCAAAAGTGGTTTGCTGTGTAATCAGACCGTGGAATAGAAGAGCCTCTAGTTCATGTGGAGACATCTTCTGCTATTCAGATGGGTCAGGCACACAGAGGAGTGGTTTGTAATCAGCCAGGAATAACAGAGCTATTTGGGGAGATGAAATAAAGGTGAAATTGGGAAACACAAGTCAGACAGGCAAAATGCAGAGTCGTAATTGCCCAGCTCAGGAATAAATGCACAAAGGCACTCAAGTACTGAAAGGCAGCAATAGAGGCTGAAAAGCAGGTTTAAAACTGAGTTATTGTTGTTGCTGCTTCACTCTCATTTTAAAGTAACTCTTGAAAAGCGAGGCACCCCAAATTAAAGGAGCCCTGTCAGCATAGCACTGGTAAATTAAGAGGTTTATGTTTTGGCTTTTTTTTCTTTCTTTATTCATTTTGGTCTTTTCCAAATGTCTGGTTCCATCTGCCTACCTTTTTTTACTATGTGTATCATGCTGAAAATTAATGTTAGGGACTGATACTTCTAAAGTGCTGAAATTTGGCAAATCAGGATTCTGATACTTTTGGGACAACATATTTTCTGACATCAAACCGTATCATCTTCTTCATTTTCCTGAATTAAAGGATGTCCACTCCTCATGCATGTAAGTGGAAGAGAAAGGTATTCTTATATTTGGGATAACAGAGAAACCACTTAGAGAAGAGATACTGATTCATATGGCCACAGGATGTCTGTGAGAGAGCAGGCCAGCACTTAAAAGTACCTTCAACCCCGTCTATCCATGTGTTTTGGTCCAATGCATGTGTCTGACAGTGGAGTATCTGCCATAGATGTAGCCAGAATTCACTCTTCAAGATGTGATGGGCTACTCTGATTACACTCTGTAATTTTAAAACCTTTCATTTCACTGTATTAGGTTCTTTTGAGGGGGTATCTGCTTGGAAAAGGATCACACTGAGATGCTCCAGGGGTTCCTTTCAATATAAATTATTCTTTTTCTATTTACACACTCTTTGTTTCAATGGTAACAGTAATTTGTTACTTAGACCAGAGAAGCTAAAATGAAATCCAGATTAATTTTCTCAGAAGTTGCATCATAGGTAAAAACAAAAAAATAAAAAAAAAAAAATCCCCAACAAAACAACAAACAAAAACCAACCAAAAGAAACCTAATGAAACAACATCAACAAATAAAAACAAACAAACAAAACCCCCCCAAAAAAACCAACCAAACAAAAAAAACCACAAAAAACCCACCCCAAAAACCCAACAAAAAATACCAAAAGCCTGTTACCATCAAATGACCTCTTTTTTTTTTTTTTTTTTTTTCTACACTGCTGACAGCAGTGGTGACAAGAATTCA